GTTAGCTCCCCAGGTGCATATTTACAATGAGTGGAATTTAGTTTATCTATTATCTACGTTCTATGATATCATATTATAATAACTATGTTAGGAATGCATATATTTACATGGTGTGAAGTCACCCGTTAAAAACATTCTATTGATCTAAATGTAAGCATAAACTTAATGGTTTTTTAATTAGCGTTCAGATCCGGATTCAGTATATTGATAAGTTCTATTTCTTTCATCTCCCTAAAAGTCTGTCCGTGTTAATGCATTGATATATAGGCATTATTTTGAAAATTCCGTTGTTACACATATTTAAGTGTTCGCTTACTTTTAGATGTCTATACTCTTCGTGTCGAATTTGTTCCTTGTGTAATGTCACTCTTTTTCGTAAGTTTTCTGTCTGGCCGACGTAGAAGCTGTCGCATTTTGAGCAAATGATCACGTAAATGACATATCTCGCTTTGCAGTTCATCGTTGAATTGACTTTCCAGGTTTTTCCGCTCTTTAATGTAACAGACTTTCCTGTGATTAAAACATCGCATGTTCCTCATCGCTTTTCCTCGCATTTTGTTACACAGTGTTCTCTGTCCTCTGAATTGAATTGTGCTTTTGTCAAGTATCGCTTCAAGTTCTTCGGTTGGCGTTTGCTTACAATGAGTTTTGTTCTGTCTAATACTCGTTTCATTTTCTCGGAATTGTTTAGAAATTTAAAGTTCTCCCTTATTTTTCCAATTACTTGAGGATTGTTGGGATTATGAGTTATTACTAAAGGCAAGACATTGTCATCAGTTTTATGTTTTGGTGCCCTCAATTCCTCAATGTTTTTTGATGAAGCCTTCTGTATTCCGTTTTTTATAAGCAATTTCGAATAGTTCTGCTTTTGTAGGAAATATTCTAGTTCATCAAGACGCTTCTTCTTTAAATCTTGATTTGTTACAATTGCACAGATCCGTCTTGCCAGTGTGTAGGGAATGTTTGATTTTGTATGTCCAGGATGACATGAATGATAATCCAGATATTCGTGTGTGTCCGTTTGTTTGTAATGTATATCACTTTCTAACCGCTCGGCGTTCTTGTAGAGTAGTATATCCAAAAACGGTAGTTTCTTATGGTCATATTCCATCGTGAACTGTATTTTTGGATGAAGTGAATTTAACATTTTATGAAGTTCCTCGAGTTCTGCTTCTGTCTTCTGCCAGGGTAGAAAGCAGTCGTCTAAGAAACGTTTAAACAATTTCACGAAGTTTTCTTTTTCGTCCTGTCCATACTTTTCCTTGAACCTTTCGTACAGTTGTGTCTCAATGAAACCCATAGTTAATGTGGCGTACGTTGGTGCCATTTTAGTGCCCATTGCTGTTCCTTGTATTTGTTTAAAATTAATGTCATCAAATTGAAATGTATTCTCCTTTAGGACAATTGAAATGGCCTCCAAAATAAATTCTTTAGGGAACGGTCGTGGCAATGATTCACGGTGTTTGTCCAACCAATGTTCGATTGCTGTGAGTCCAAGATCATGTGGGATACTTGTATACAAGCTGATGACGTCGAATGATACCATTATCGTTTTCTCGTTTATATTTGTAGGTATTTTGTTCAGAAAATCCATACTGTCCCGTATAAAACTTGGTACATGTTGGCATAATGGTTTTAAAATCAAATCGACAAAATTGCTTAGTCTATGTGTGGGCGATATAGGTCCAGCTACTATAGGTCTCATCTTTAAGTCCGCTGGTGGTTCCAGTTTGATATAATCATTGTTTTGGTCGGTGACAGCATCTGTTATGGTTTTTGATTTGTGTATTTTCGGTAATCCATAGAAATTTGATGTTTTCATTAGGAAATTTGTGATGTACTTTTTCTCGTTCTCAGTAATGAAGTTTCCAAAGTTTTTAATAAGTCTCTTAATCTTTCGTAAAATGGCTTCGTCCTCGTTTTGCGATAATTGTATGTAATTCTCTGTGTCGGAAAGGAGGTATAGCATTTTGTCTCTATAATAAGATTTGTCCATTACCACCGTTGCTCCCCCTTTATCTGCTTGTTTGATTATGATTGTGCTGTCGTTTTTAAGGTCTTGAAAAGCTTTCTGTTCTGCTGTAGATATGTTACATTTCCTAGTTTTCTTCTGGGATTGTTGTTCAAGTTTTGACAAGTCGCTAAGAAATAGCGTGAGATGTTCGTCCTCTGATCTTGGTGGAACAAAATTAGATTTGTTTTTAGCAAGTGAATTGTCTATGTTCTGCTCTTTATCGTTAAAATATTCTGCTAGGCGTAATTTCCGACTGAATTCGTGGATATCCGCTTTCAGTTCTGTTGTATTTTGTGGTGGAGTTGGAGTGAATTTTAAACCTCGCTTAAGTAGCCGTATTTCATTTACCGTCAGATCTCTTGACGAAATGTTAATAATTTTTGGTTCTGTCAACGGGGGTTGGTCATGTGCGGTTGTCGTAGTCGTTCCCTGGGATGGTAGAGTGATCTCTCTGGAGGATATCTCTTGATGGGATGTTGTTCTAAAAAAGAAGTGTTCCTTGGGATTCTTTCGTAATCATCAACGATGTAGGTACTTCCTTGCTGTGGATTATATCTTGGAGGAATTCTCGCGACCTCAGCATATGTCATTTGGTGATGCAGTGACGACGAGGAATGATGATTGCGTGTGTTGTTGTGCTGGAATCGGTTTTGTCCTACTCTCTCCTTATTAATTGCGGTTACGTTGTATCTGGGTCGATTGTGGGCAAATTTTGCAGACTTTCTCTCATCGGGACGGTTGTTCTCGAATTGTTTGGGATTCATTCTCCTATGGTTTAGCTGTTTACTTATGCTTTGTAAATGCGTATTGTCGGTCATACCGCGTCGATCTTGTTGTCGCGAATCTCCCGTTGGTTTGCTCTCGTTGTACTTCCTTGGGGGTTTCAGGAAGCTCTCATGTTTAAATTCAGCTTCATACTTCTCGAGCCAAATTTGCTTGGATTCCCATTTCTTTAAGGATTTGGATTCTTCATGCGTAACATCTTCGTGCCATAGATTCTTTAATTCTGTAAGGGTATGACCAGTAAAACGGTCTTCAAGGAATTTTTTCATTTCTTCTTCCGTCTGCTTGCATTTTGATTTATGTCGTTCGGCTCGGACGTTCAGGAGAGCGATCTCGTTTCGGAAATTTTCGACGGCAGAATTTTGTCGTATTCTTGTTTCGTTGATATCCTCGTTCGCAATGGATTTGATAAGAAATTTTCTGGGCATTTCAATTTGATGACATTAATTATAAACAAATACAAGGAACAGCAATGGGCACTAAAATGGCACCAACGTACGCCACATTAACTATGGGTTTCATTGAGACACAACTGTACGAAAGGTTCAAGGAAAAGTATGGACAGGACGAAAAAGAAAACTTCGTGAAATTGTTTAAACGTTTCTTAGACGACTGCTTTCCACCCTGGCAGAAGACTGTAGCAGAACTCGAGGAACTTCATAAAATGTTAAATTCACTTCATCCAAAAATACAGTTCACGATGGAATATGACAATAAGAAACTACCGTTTTTGGATATACTACTCTCCAAGAACGCGGAACGGTTAGAAAGTGATATACATTACAAACAAACGGACACACACCAATATCTGGATTATCATTCATGTCATCCTGGACATACAAAATCAAACACTCCCTACACACTGGCAAGACGGATCTGTGCAATTGTAACAAATCAAGATTTAAAGAAGAAGCGTCTTGATGAACTAGAATATTTCTTACAAAAGCAGAACTATCCGAAATTGCTTATAAAAAACGGAATACAGAAGGCTTCATCAAAAAACATTGAGGAATTGAGGGCACAAAAACATAAAACTGATGACAATGTCTTGCCTTTAGTAATAACTCATAATCCCAACAATCCTCAAGTAATTGGAAAAATAAGGGAGAACTTTAAATTTCTAAACAATTCCGAGAAAATGAAACGAGTATTAGACAGAACAAAACTCATTTTAAGCAAACGCCAACCGAAGAACTTGAAGCGATACTTGACAAAAGCACAATTCAATTCAGAGGACAGAGAACACTGTGTAACAAAATGCGAGGAAAAGCGATGTGGAACATGCGATGTTTTAATCACAGGAAAGTCTGTTACATTAAAGAGCGGAAAAACCTGGAAAGTCAATTCAACGATGAACTGCAAAGCGAGATATGTCATTTACATGATCATTTGCTCAAAATGCGACAGCTTCTACGTCGGCCAGACAGAAAACTTACGAAAAAGAGTGACATTGCACAAGGAACAAATTCGACACGAAGAGTATAGACATTTAAAAGTAAGCGAACACTTAAATATGTGTAACAACGGAATTTTCAAAATAATGCCTATATATCAATGCATTAACACGGACAGACTTTTTAGGGAGATGAAAGAAAAAGAACTTATCAATATACTAAATCCGGATCTGAACGCTAATTAAAAAACCATTAAGTTTATGCTTACATTTAGATCAATAGAATGTTTTTAACGGGTGACTTCACACCATGTAAATATATGCATTCCTAACATAGTTATTATAATATGATATCATAGAACGTAGATAATAGATAAACTAAATTCCACTCATTGTAAATATGCACCTGAGAAGCTAACATTAAAGCGAAAACGTTTGTGCAAAATTTGAGTGGCTTTTATTCTATTTTACGTTATAAATGTCTCTTTTGGTTGCACATTGAAACCTTTTCTATATGTATATATATATATATATATATATATATATATATATATATATATATATATATATATATATATATATATATATATATATATATATATATATACATGTTGAGTGTTGAGTTGTGTAATTGTACATTCCGTAATATGTTAAGGTGAAAATGTTCTCGAGTGTGTATTATATAATTTTCACGTATTATTACATAATTTCCCGTATTGTGTATTATATAATTTGCTTACGCTGGGTATGGAAAGTATATAAACACACTCGAGAACATTTTCACAGTGTTTCACGCTTTCAAAGCGATCTTCAGGCGATACTATATATATATATATATATATATATATATATATATATATATATATATATATATATATATATATATATATATATATATATATATATATATATGTAAGTGTGTAATTGTACACTCTGTAATATGTTAAGATGAAAATGTTCTAGAGTGTGTATTATATAATTTCCATACCCAGCGCAAGCAGAAAGATGTTGTCTGCCGCGGCTGGGTCTCGAACCCGCGACCTTCGAATTACTAGATCGACGCTCTACCTACTGAGCTACACGGTCAGACGGATTTAAGACTGGAAATTCTGAAATATATATATACTGAATGTCATAAACATACTCGTTTATATTAATTCAGCATCGAACAATACTAGTTCTGCAAGTGTTATGTTAGTTGTGTAATTGTACACTAGTTAGTGTACAATTACACAACTAATATATATATATATATATATATATATATATATATATATATATATATATATATATATATATATATATATATATATATATATATATATATATATGTGAAGTTAAGATTGTTGCTCAAGCTTGTATTCAGAAAATATCTGAACTCCCAACGGGAATCGAACCCGTGTCTCCCGATTGCCGGTTCGGTTGCTTTACCACTAGACTATAGGGTTTCAGACAGCAATGCGATGTTAACTAGAGACCTGGTTCCTACCGTTTATATGCGTCCTTTGTACTTAAAGGCTCGTCATACGCCGAACCGGCAATCGGGAGACACGGGTTCGATTCCCGTTGGGAGTTCAGATATTTTCTGAATACAAGCTTGAGCAACAATCTTAACTTCACATATATCCAAGCTTACAACATGTACTAGTCTTAGTATATGAACACACAAACACAACAATATATATATATATATATATATATATATATATATATATATATATATATATATATATATATATATATATATATATATATATATATAGAAGGGCCACTTACGTCGGAAGCTTTGAAGTTTCTGTCCTCGCGCATGTCGCATTACGCATATTGGCCGTCATTTTCCTAGCCAGTCAATGACATTTTCTGGCCAATAAACACGCTGTACTGGCTGGCTGCTACGCCTTCAGGCCAGTAAACTGCATGTTTTTGCATAAAAAAACGCGGACTCGTTGCACCGCTGAGTGGCCCTTCTGTTACTGATCTTTATTCTGTGGTGTAGTGCTGACGAGCAGGATGAATGTAACTGCTATTTACAGTTACCTTTGATGCCTCACGAATGTGGGACATCAAAACCATGCCAGAGCGCTCAAACTGCAAGCAGTGAGCGTGCGTAATGCGTAAGCGGCAATGGCTCATCCTGTAGAGCGCTCAATATGACCTAAAGGCCATAGAGCGATATCTAACTACAGACGGTACCGTTTCGGCCTGATGGGCTTTATCAGTGTAGTGCTGATGAACAGGATGAAAGTATATAACTGCTATTTACAGTTACTTTTGATGCCTGACGAATGTGGGACATCAAAACCATGCCAGAGCGCATATATAATTTTAACACATTAAGAAATATTTGAATTTGAATTTATTTGAATTTATTAATAAAATATAGACTTTGCAACCATGAAGGTTGAAATACATCTATCATTTACAGGGTAAGGTTGATTAGAAAAATATTGTATATTTACAAAAACATATTTACTATAATATAGGAAGAGTTTAAAACTTTTAGTATGATATTACCATAATATTTACAAATAAAAATGTATGTAATTTATAGTTACTCAGTGTTTATTATAAATCGTTACAGACGAGGGAATGTACGAATTTTTGAAGCGATTTGTCCGACAATTAATTGGAACGAGTTTATTCGATGTGCGTAGATTGTAGCTTGGATGTTCGGCTGGTTCAACTAGTTCGGAAAGAGGACTAGTTTGCGGAAGAACCTTTTTCCTAAAAAATTTTGAACATAACAGTTCGCGCCTAGAATACAATGTTGGGATATTGAGATCTGATAAGGATTCTTTGTATGATGACGATGGGTTAATTATTTTCAACGCTCTTGACTGGATC